ACGGCACCCACCAGGCGGATCTCAGGGATTGATCGCCCCAGGGTCCACTCCTGGCTGTTGACCAAAGCCTCTGTGGAAGGAGATGGGTGAGACAGAGCCGGGCACCCCCCAGCACCCCCCAGCACCCCCCAGCACCCCCCAGCACCCCAAGGAGCCCCAATCCCGGGGGGTGCCCCCACCCTGCAGCGCAGCAGCAGCTTCCTGCGTGGGCGGCCACCAGCTGTCACCCAGCAACGGCACCGGGCCCGCGGGGGTGGCGGCAGGACGTGGAGATGGCGCGTGGCAGGACAGGGACGTGGCAGCACGAGGCGTCGTGTGCCAAGGCACGAGGACGCGGCGGGCACGGGGACATGGTGGGCACGGGTGGGGGGACACGGCGTGGCAGAGGGACACGGTGGGAACGGGCACCAGGACGCTGTCGGCGCAAGGACGTGGTGTGGCATGAGGACACGACGATTGCAGGATGTGGCAGCCGTGAGGGCACAGAGTGGCACCAGGGCGTGGTGTGGCATGAGGACACGACGGGCACCAGGACACAGCATGGCAGGAGGATGAGGGGTGGCACAAGGACACCGTGGATGGTGCACGAGGACATGATGCCAGAGGTGCACGACAACCTCAGACCTGAGGATGTGGCATGGCGTGAGCACGAGGTGTGGCACAGGGACACGATGGACGCCAGGGCACGGCGTGGCAGTGTGGCACTGGGACATGGCACAAGGGACATGGCATGCAGTGTGGCACTGGGACATGGTGTGGCACAAGGACGAGGGACATGGCACAAGGGACATGGCATGCAGTGTGGCACTGGGACATGGCACAAGGGACGTGGCATGCAGTGTGGCACAAGGACAAGGCATGGCACAAGGGACATGGCATGCAGTGTGGCACTGGGACGTGGCGTGGCACAAGGACAAGGGACATGGCACAAGGGACATGGCATGCAGTGTGGCACAAGGAGGAGGGACATGGCATGCAGTGTGGCACAAGGACGTGGCGTGGCACAAGAATGAGGGACATGGCATACAGTGTGGCACTGGGACATGGTGTGGCACAAGGATGAGGGACATGGCACAAGGGACATGGCATGCAGTGTGGCACTGGGACATGGCACAAGGGACGTGGCATGCAGTGTGGCACAAGGACGTGGTGTGGCACAAGGACGAGGGACATGGCACAAGGGACATGGCATGCAGTGTGGCACTGGGACATGTGTGGCACAAGGAGGAGGGACGTGGCACAAGGGACATGGTGTGGCACAGGGACGAGGGACATGGCACAAGGGACATGGCATGCAGTGTGGCACAGGGACATGGCACAAGGGACATGGCATGCAGTGTGGCACTGGGACATGGTGTGGCACAAGGATGAGGGACATGGCACAAGGGACATGGCATACAGTGTGGCACTGGGACATTGTGTGGCACTGGGACGTGGCGTGGCACAAGGATGAGGGACATGGCACAAGGGATGTGGCATGCAGTGTGGCACTGGGACATGGCGTGGCACAAGGACAAGGGACATGGCATGCAGTGTGGCACAAGGATGAGGGACATGGCACAAGGGACGTGGCATGCAGTGTGGCACTGGGACATGTGTGGCACAAGGACGAGGGACATGGCACGAGCACACGGCGGGCACAAGGCTGCAGTGGCAGCTCGCGTGGCACACAAGGACACGGCGTGGCACAAGCGCCTGGCCTGGCACGATGACGTGCCCTGTGCCCCCCCAAATCTCCTACCTGGCATCCCCAGCCCCTCTGGGCAGTGGTGGCACCACAAAGGGGGAGCAGAGGGTACCCCCATTTCTGCCACCAGCACGGAGCAGGTCCGTGCCACGCGTGCCAGCCGGGAAAGGGTTAACGCTGCTGCCTGTCACCCCTCCATTGTCACCGAGATGCCACCCCCGGCCCTGCAGGTGCTGCCCACGCACCCCGCGGTGCCAAGGGGCGCGCAGAGGGATGCCGGGGGGGACAGAAGGACACGGGGTGGGGGTGGCCGGACAGATGGGGGACAGGATGCGCGGGTGTGACGCACGGATGGAGGCGAGGACAGACGGACAGACGGACGGACGGACGGCGGGACGGAACAACGCGGGTGGGGGTCGCGCCTGACCCCCGTGGGGTTCCCCCAGTGGGGAAAGCGAGGTGCGGGATCCCCAACACGGGAATGCCCAGAACGGGTCCCGCCGAATCGGACACTTCACATCGTCCCCAGGGCACAAACACGGCGCAGTCCAGCCCGGGGGGTCACAGCCCCTCTGTACCCCCCTGTACCCCCCTTTGTACCCTTCTGTATCCCTCTGTACCCCTCTGTACCCCCCTGTGCCCCCCTGTACCCCCCCGTACCCCTCTGTACCCCTCTGTACCCCTCCGTACAACCCCGTACCCCCCTGTACCCCGCTGTACCCCTCTGTACCCCTCTGTACCCCCCCGTACCCCCCTGTACCCCCCTGTACCCCTCTGTACCCCCCGTACCCCCCTGTACCCCTCTGTACCCCCCGTACCCCTCTGTACCCCTCTGTACCCCCCCTGTACCCCTCTGTACCCCCCTGTACCCCTCTGTACCCCCCTGTACCCCCTTGTACCCCTCTGTACCCCTCCGCACCCCCCCGTACCCCCCTGTACCCCTCTGTACCCCTCTGTACCCACCTGTACCCCTCTGTACCCCCCTGTACCCCTATGCACCCCCCGTACCCCTCTGTACCCCTCTGTACCCCCCTGTACCCCTCTGTACCCCCCTACACACCCCCGTACCCCTCTGTACCCCTCTGTACCCCCCACCCCACAGCCACGGGGAGCAGACGGGTCTGTACCCCCCTGTACCCCCCTGCACACCTCCGTGCCCCCCTGTACCCCTCTGTACCCCCCTGTACCCCTCTGTACCCCTCTGTACCCCTCTGTACCCCCCTGTACCCCTCTGTACCCCCCTGTACCCCCCTGTACCCCCCGTACCCCTCTGTACCCCCCTGTACCCCTCTGTACCCCCCCGTACCCCTCTGTACCCCCCTGTACCCCTCTGCACCCCCCTGTACCCCCCTGTACCCCTCTGTATCCCCCGTACCCCGCTGCCCACCCCCGTACCCCCCACCCCACAACCACAGACGGGTCCTGCTGCCCCACACGCGATTCGGGGGTCCCGGCGCCTCCTCCGCCCACCAGGGAAACTGAGGCACAGCACCACGGCCCCGGGTCACCGAGGGGCGCGGGGACACCGAGCCACGACCGGGACGACCCCCGGGGTCCCCCGGGCCGGTACTCACTGTGCGGGTCCGCACCGGGGGGAGCCCAGGGGGGCGCGGGGTGGGTGGGGGTCGCCGCGGGGCTCTTGGTGAAGATGCCGCTGATGAACTTGAGCATCTTTCGGTCGCGCGTGGAGGCGCGACCCCCCTCGCGCCCCCGTTTCAGCCCGGTCTCGGGGGTCGCGGCGGGCACCAGCCCCCCCGGCTGCAGGTCGCTGTAGTCCAGGGTCTTGCTCTTGCCCTTGCTGGGGGACAGCCGGGCCCGGGGGGGCCCCTCGCTCTTGCCCCCCACCTTGGGGCGCCCCTTCCCCTCTCCCTCGGGCCACGACAAGCGGCTCCCGGCCGGTTTTTGGGGGGTCTTGCCCGCTCGGGGCTCGGGGGTCCCGCGGGTCCCCCCGCCGCTCGCCGCTTTGGGGGCTTTGGGACCGGCCAGGCGGAGGCGGCGGGGGCCGGCGGAGGGGTGCGGGGAGCCGGTGGGGGGGTCCAGGGGTGGCGGGGGGGCTCTGCTCCCCTCCGGGGGTCCCTCGGGGCCCCCCCAAGTTGCCTGGCTGAGCAGCGGGCGGCGGGGGGCGGTGGGCTGGGGGATGTCCAGGGCGGCCAGACCCCGTTCCCCCGACCCCCCCAAGGTGCCCTTGGCCCCACGGGGGTCGCGTTTGGGGGGCACCGCCGGCAGAGGGGGGGGCAGCAGCGCCGGGTCGGGTTTGGGGGGCACGGCGGGGGGCGGGGGGGGTAACAACGCCGGGTCGGGTTTGGGGGGCACCGCCGGGGGTGGGGGGGGTAACAACGCCGGGTCGGGTTTGGGGGGCACCGCCGGGGGCGGCAGCATGGCCGGGTCGGGTTTGGGGGGCACGGCGGGGGGCGAGGCGGGCGAGCGGGGGCGGGGGGCGTCGGGGCCGGGGGGGCCGGGACCGGCCGTACTTATCCGGAGCGCGTCCTGCCGCTGGAAGAGCCGCTCGGGCCGGCGGGCTCGGCCGGGCTCGGGGGTGCGGGGGGCGGCCGCAGCCCCCCCGGTACCGGGGGCTCCATCGCCACCACCCCCCGCCTCCTCCGCCTCCCCCGCGGCGCCCACCGACTCGAGCTTGACCAGCGTGAGCGAGATGAGGTAGGTGGTCCTGCGCTGGAGGCCGGTGGTCCTGCTCATGGGTGCGGGCAGGGCCCCCCCGGGCCGCCCCCCCGGCCCCCCTGGATCCCCGCGCGGCGCCGCGGCCGCCGGTGCCGGTGATGCTCCGGTCCCACCCCCGGCCCTGCCTCCCCGAAGCCTCCGCCGCTCGCCCGCCCCCGGAGGGGTTGGAACCGCCGCCGCCCCCCCCCCGAAATCCCGGCACCCCCCCGCCCGCCGCCGGGATCGGGGCCACCCCCCGGGTCAGCGGCCGGGGGGCATCGCGGGGGGAACCCCCCGAGAGGGGCGGGGGAGGGGTTGGGGGTTTTTGGGGGGCGCGGGAGGATCGGGGGGAGTCAGGGCGGGGGGAGGGGGTTATGGGGACCGGGGGGTCCGGGGGGGGCACGGAGGGGGGGGTGCAGGTGCGGGTGCTCGGGGCGGTGATGGGGAGTGGGTGCGGGGGCTACGGGGAAGGGGGAGACGGAGGGATGGGGGGTTATGGGGCCGGGGGGGTCATGCCCGGGACCCCCCGGGAACGGGGCTCACGGCAGCGCCCCGACGGGCTCGTCCTTGGCGGCGGCGGCGGCGGCGGCGGCGGCGGAGCGGGGGGCGGCCGGGGCCCACCGGGAGGGGGGTCCCAGAGCGGCCGGGGGGCGCCGGGGCCCGGCGGGGCGGGGGGCCCTGAGCGGCCGGGGGCGGCCGGGGCCGCCGTTCTCCGCCATGCGCCGCTCCCAGGGCCGGGTTGGGGCGGGGGCGGGCGGCGGCCCCGCCGCTACCGGGCAGGCGCGAGCGCTCCCGGGCGCCTCCCCGAGCCCCCGGCTCCGGTACCTGCTGGGCTGCCGGTACAACCCCCCCAGCCCGGTACTGCCCTCCATCCATCCATCCATCCATCCATCCATCCATCCATCCATCCATCCATCCATCCATCCATCCATCCCTCCATCCCGCTGCTCCCCGCACTCCTAAATCCCTTCCCGGGGTCGGGGGGACCCTCCGGGTGGGTGTTGGGGGTCTGGGGGCGGCTTTGGGGTTTTTCGGGTGGTCTTGCGGGGCTCATCCACCCCTTTTCGGGCATTTTTAGCAGCGGCGCAGCATCCCTGCGCATCCCGTTACCACGGCAACAGCGGGGACGGCGCTGGGACCAGCCGTGGACCCCCCCCCCGTGTCACCCTCGTGGGCTCGGGCCAGGTGCCACGGCCACTGGTGTCCCCACGGCAGTGTGACCCCCCCACGGAGGGACCCTCGCCCCCCTGTGCCCCCCGGAGGTCGGGCGGGGGTCCCAGGGGGGGCCACCCCCGGAGGTGTCCCTGCTGCCACCCCGGGGCTGTGACAGTCCCGGAGGTGACTCTGTCCCGGCCTGGCGGGGGACAGCGCTGCCCCCTCCAGTGCCCCCTTGTCCCCTCCAGTGTCCCCCACTGTCCCCAAGGAAGGGACCGCGCCTCCCCATGGCTCTGATGTCCCACTCTGCCGGGGGGGGTGACAACACGGGGTCACGGTGGGTCCGATCCTCGCGCCAGAACATCGTGACCCTGTCTGTGTCCCCCCCCGTGTCCCCTCCGTGTCTGTGTCACCCTCCCTGTCCCCTCCCTGTCCCCTCCGTGTCTGTGTCCCCCTCCCTGTCCCCTCCCTGTCCCCCTCCCTGTCCCCTCCCTGTCCCCAAAGCTGCTGCGGCCCCACGGTGGGACCGGGGGGGGTTAAACAGGAGCAGGAGCCCCCCGGGGGTGGGAGGGGGCTCAGGGCACGATTTGGGGGGGGGTCCGTGCCCCCTCCATCGCTCTGTGGGTACCACAGCGGGCGCTTGGCAACGCGGCATCCCCCGGCTTCCCGTTGCCATGGAAACCGCGCGGGAGATGCCGGAGTTGGGGGGGGGGGGCACAGGGATGTGGGGGCTCAGAACGGGCAGGGGGCGGCAATGAAGCCCCTCCCCCCGTGACGTCACCGGACACCCCCGCGTGGGTCGGGGGGATTGGGGGGAGGAGACCCCAAACCCCGCGCAGCCCCCCCATACCAGCAGCAAGTATCCCCCCCTTAGACCCCCCCCACACAGGTTCCCCCCCTCCCCTCCCCCAGCAGCACCTCTGACCCCTCCAGAGGGACCCCCAAACCCACCAGGGACCCCCCAAACCCCCCCCACAGCCGGGCACCCCCCACCCCCACCAGACGTGGGGAGGAAGCGGCTCCATCACCCACAGCGGCGGGGCCGGAAACCACCGCGGGGCTCCGGTACGGAAATGGGGGGGCCCCGGTCCCCCCCGGGGCCTGAACCCCCCGTGGCCCCCGGTGTGGGGCTGGGGGGGACAGCAGTGTCACATCTGTCCATCCATCATCCATCCATCCATCCATCCATCCATCCCATGTCCATCCATCCATCCCATGTCCATCCCCTGTCCATCTCCCGTCCATCCCCTCTCCGTGCCCCCCTGCCCATGCCCCCGGTGCCCCCCGTGCCCTGTCCGTGCCCTGTCCATCCCATGTCCATCCTCTGTCCATTCCCTCTCCGTGCCCCCCTGCCCATGCCCCCCATGCCCCCGTGCCCCCGGTACCCCCGGTTCCCCCGGTGCCCCCATGCCCCCGGTGCCCCCCTGCCCATGCCCCCCCGTGCCCCCGGTGCCCCCGGTGCCCCCCATGCCCCCCGGTGCCCCCGGTGCCCTGTCCATCCCCTGTCCATCCCCTGTCCATCCCCTGTCCATGCCCTCTCCATGCCCCCCTGCCCATGCCCCCCGTGCCCCCATGCCCCCGGTGCCCCCGGTGCCCCACATGCCCCCCGTGCCCCCATGCCCCCGGTGCCCCCGGTGCCCCCCATGCCCCCCATGCCCCCGGTGCCCCCGGTGCCCCCCGTGCCCTGTCCGTGCCCTGTCCATCCCCCGTCCATCCCCTCTCCGTGCCCCCCTGCCCATGCCCCCCATGCCCCCGGTGCCCCCCGTGCCCCCGGTGCCCCCCGTGCCCCCGTGCCCCCCATGCCCCCCATGCCCCCGGTGCCCCCGGTGCCCCCGCTGCCCCCGCTGCCCCCCGTGCCCCCATGCCCCCGGTGCCCCCCATGCCCCCGGTGCCCCCCATGCCCCCCATGTCCCCGGTGCCCCCGGTTCCCCCCGTGCCCCGGTGCCCCCGATGCCCCCCGTGCCCCCCATGCCCCCCATGCCCCCGGTGCCCCCCATGCCCCCCATGCCCCCGGTGCCCCCGTTGCCCCCCATGCCCCCGGTGCCCGCGGTGCCCCCGGTGCCCCGGTACCTCGGAGGGCGCTGAGGGCGCTGCCCATGCCCCCGGTGCCCCCCGTGCCCCCATGCCCCCCCATGCCCCCCATGCCCCCGGTGCCCCCGGTGCCCCGGTACCTCGGAGGTCGCTGAGGGCGCTGCCCAGGCTCCCCCGCAGCCGCGGCTCGGGCACGGTCTCCACGAGCCGCCGCAGCCGGTTCAGGTGGCCCTTGGCCCCCTCGTGCCGCGCCACCTCGGCCCGGATGGCGTCCAGGACCTGCCGCCGCTCCCGGGGGGCCCCCATGGCACCCCCGAACCGGACCGGCACCGCCCGGCCCCGCCGCCTCCTGCAGCGGCACCCGCGGGACACGGCGCGGCACGGCACGGGGCACGGAAACCGGCGGGGCACG